AATTAAGATGTTAAGACTTGAAAGTGACATTCTCTGTCACTTTTTTCCTGAAAAGGTTACAGTCTATCTCATTTGAATTCTTTAGAATCTATTAAAGAGATATAATCATACATACAAGTGTTTGTAAAAATTTGAAGAATAATATTATTTGTATATTTTCATGGAGTTGCATAATGGTTTATATGCACATGAAGTGTCCCAAGAGAGTGGGAAAGTTTTTTTTTTTTATTTGGTTAAAGAAATTTTGATTCAATGATATCTCACTACATCGTGTGTACATAAGTTATTATGTACATATAGCACAATCGAAATTTGAATATGAATATGAATTCAAATTTGTCTTTACATTAAAAGGTGACACGATATAACACTTTATTTGTATTTTTACATGAGTTAATTTTTTGGAATTAAAAGAGACATATCTCACTTTTTTTAAAAGTCTCACGTTATTTCATTTATATTCTTTTTGTAGATACAAATAAAATTAATGTATTCATTTGTTATCGAGATAAATAGGAACAAGATAACGAATATAAAAGTAACAAAATAATTGAAATTGTTGTCATGTTAAACTACACATACAACAACCTTTATTAAACGTAAATATCATTTAATTTTTTTGTTAAAAAAATGTGACATATCATGTCCCTTTAAACCAATATCCATTTGGTATGATTAACTCTCAATCTTGTAAAAAGAGAAATAAAGACTATTAAACGAAAATTGACAAAATCTCAGAAAAGTGACAAAATCTCAAAAAATTCACAAAATCAATTTCAATGTAATTAATACAAAAAATTATAATTCTAATCAATTTTAAGGGTATTAATTTAATATTTTATTTTTTAACGGTAGTGGACCTAGTTTTCCTAATAATTAATTAACCCATAAGTCTAATAGGAGACAAAAACATGCCCAAGGATTGTTTAATTTATTGGGCCAGTCCATTAAAAATTCCAATGGCTCAAGATTATTACTAGGCCGTTTAGTAATTAATGGGCTAGGCACACATTGTTGATCCACTGGATTTGACACTTCTAGTGGAATGTTCTAGGATCTAGGGTTTGATATTTTGAAAATGAAAATAATAATCATAAGGAAAAATTGCAGCAGCAGTCCGTAATCTTTTCATTTTTTGCAGACATTACTGTAGCTTTCATTTTGTGCCAGAGAAGATCCTAACATTTCATAAATATACAGTTGGGGTCCCTTTGGAAGGAAATCATTCAAAACATCGTCAGTTGACCTGAAAAATTAAAAAATCTAGTATATTGACCATTTTAAAGAAGGGCAATTTTGTCACATAAGTGTTTCTCACTTGATACTATTCAAATCAATATATATTTTCATTTACATTGTTGAATAGTAATATTCATACTGATAATTACATATGATTCAATAAAATCCATAGTGAATCAAGTCTAACGATTTTTTTTTCTTGACAGGTCTAATATTCACTAGCAATTGACGAAAAAATAAAATAAAATCAATCATAATAACCTTCAATTGCCGCCTAAGAAACCCCCCAACAAAATCATAGTAGTAACAATAATAAAAATTAATAATATTCCAAATCACCAAAAAAACCCTAAGTTAAAAGTACGGGACAACAAAAACTAAACAAATAACCCTAATTACAAAATAACAGTAAAATCCCCCAACACAAATTCAACACTCAATATAAAAAAAGATAATGAAGTAGATAAAAAATAATCACCAGTTAGCTTGATGGAGTCTTTAGCATACAGTTTTTCTATTGCCAACAGGAATAACCCAAAACATGGCGGAAAGAAAAATCGCTACGCTAAGTATCAAAACCAGAAAACATTTGGAATTGAACTCTTGAAAGATTCTAGAAACAACCACCGAACAGCTATGGCTGAAAGAGGTTCTAGAAACAAGAATCTGAGACTGTTGTCGCAATTGCTACTGCACAACTCGTAGTTGTTGACTATCGACTTTCCCCATTTCCACCACAGCATTTATTCTCTCTCTCTCTCTCTCTCTCTCTCTCTTTATGGAATTGTATGTATAGGTATATTTGGGGAAATGTTGATTTGAACAATATCAAGTAGAAATGCTAATTGGACGAAATTGCCCCTCCTTAAAATAGTCAATATACCTTATTTTTTAATTTTCCAGGTCAATTGACGGTGTTTTGGACGGTTTAAGTCCAAAAGAATCCCAACTGCATATTTATAAAAGGTTAGGACCTACTTTGGCACAAAATGAAGGTTAAGGTAAAGTCTACAAAAATGAAAAGGTCAGGGACCGATACTGCAATTTTCCCTAATATTAATGGAAAGTCTTAGGGCCTAGGGTTCGGTATTAGGCCGATTGCCATTTGGCACACAGCCGCCAACCAAAACTACTCTTGCTGCCACATCTTCCTTCCTTCTTTGCATATTTGGGGAAATTTCCGTACAATTTTATGTTTTGCGAGGATAATACAACAACTTGGAAGAGGCATATTTTGAGTTTGAGCGTGAATCTAATATTTCAACACACGCCTGGGTTTTGAGGGATATGGCAGTTAATTAACACCAAATTCCTTAGTAACGGTGTGGTCTTTCTATGTTAGATTCACGCACAAACTCGTAATATGTCTTTTCGTTTAATCTAGTTAGATTTTACCACTTCACTCAGCCTCCAGTGCAGAATTTTCAGAGATCGGTTCGTTTTTATAATCCCTTTTTTTTTCTTTTTTATTATATTTTTCTTATTTGATACGACTTCAGTTTTGAATTGATTTCGGATGGAATTCATTCATAGTTTGTTTGCCTAGTCAATGCTCGGAGGATCAAAAAATCTGTGCTCACTACTTGTAGCTAATATTGTACGCTAATTTGAATGTAGTCTGGTGGCTTAATTCATGCTTTTGAGGTTCTCCAACTGCGAGGTCTGGAAAGGATTAATCCAATTTGGTAAATTTTATATTTTTCTTATTCAGTTAAATCTTAGCTTATATCATTGAGTTAAATGTTTCAACACCGAACTTCAGGTTTTGTCACTGGTTACTCACCAACTTTAGAAAGTTTTTTCGATGATCACTCAACTTTGGTCCGTTGCACTTCATCACTCACCGGATGGATTCCTCCTCTATTAGCCTATGTGGGTGACGGAATTACCGTCCAAAATTAAAATCAGATGCCAACTTGGATGCCAGCGCATTAAATCACAAATCCCAAACATGCCTCTGTCAAAAATTGCAAAGCCTAAAAATTGAAATCAGAATCAGAATCACGCCCCAAATCAAGAAGCAATCAAGAAAAACATTAATTGTTAATCACTTAAGATAAAAGTGGAACAAAATAATTTTCGGATTTTTGACGTACCTGAACATCTTTGATTACTTCATATGAAAAATCACTTCTGTCCTGCCCAGTTAATCCAGATATGACAGACTCTCAAATTTGTAAACCTGTATCTCAAATAAAAGGCCCTTAAACTGCTGCTAGGTTAAAGGAAGCCAGAGAAGAGTGAAACCCAGTAGAAGGTTTTCTATGAGCCTATGGGCTCCGCCGTCGAAAAAGATGGTTTCTTCAGTGGCTTTTTGGAGGAGGTGGTGGTGGAGGGCGTGGAGGATCAAATGTGGAGCCTGGTGATAGGTCAGGTGGATTTGGAGGTGGGTTCTGTGAACGGTAGCTTGGTATTTAGGTGGAGAGACTGGTGGTGGGCGGGGGCGGTGGTGATAGTGGGGAAGAGGGTGGTGGGAGTTGAAGAGTGAAACTGATTTCTGTTTTCCACGATTTGGTGAGTTTATTGGATTTTCCAGCATTTGGGTGTTGACAGGCTTTGATGAGCTGGCGATCATGTTGGTGTTTCATTTAACAGTCGGATGGATTTAATAGCCACATAGGAATTCTGTCATCCACGCAGGCTAAAAGAGAAATAGAATCCGTTTAGTGAGTGATGGAGTACAACGGACCAAAGTTGACCGATCAATGAAAAGTTTTCTGAAGTTCGATGAGTAACTCGTGACAAAGTCCAAAGTTCAGAGAGTGTTCAAACATTTAACTCTTATACCATTTCATCATCTCAAGTGACAAGTAGAAGTACATTTTCATTGGAAAGGATTATCTGAATAAGTTCACAAGTTCGTATTATATTGTATAATTAGCTTGTATATTTCAAATGCAATTATATTGAAACAGAAAACAAAGTAATTCATTTTGCACCTATTGGTTTTTTCCTTCTCCTCTCTGATTTCTAGCTTCTGTTTGAGCTACCTAGCAGTTATAGAATATTGTATCCGTGCAAAGTGAAGGAAAAGAATGAAGTGGACAGTTGCAGGAATAGAAACACATATCCATGCTTTCACAGATACTAAACTACTTGCTTGTTATTTGCTCATGAGAAGCATATCTGATGATATGAGATTAATTGCCACCAAAACTTCTGCCTCCCCCACCACCATAACCTCATCCAAAACCCCCACCAGGTCCAGCTCCACCTCCACCTCCACCTCCTCCTTCACCAGTACCGGCCCATCCTCCTTTTTCACCTCCTGCACTCCCACCAAAACCACACCTGGACCACCTCCTATGCCTCCACCAACACCACTGCCTTTTTCAACTCCAAAACCACCACTAGCTCCTCCCAAACTCCACCCCATTTATGGGATACGGCCATCAATTAACTTCACAGTTCCTGTGTTTAGAGTGCTCCAAAAATGGCTTTTTGTATTAAAATGTTAGATCCACATACAAGCTCATAATCTGTCTTTTAGTTGAATCTAGTTATATCGACCATCTCAACCTTCCATAGTTATTCCAATAAGGCATTAATGCAGAATTTTCAGCAAATTGGCTTGTTTTTATACTCTTCACTTACTTATATATTTGTTTCATTTTTTTTATTTTGTGTTTTTGCGCTCTGTTATTTATCTATTTCTCTTTCCATTTTTTGTTTCCGGATGAAGTTCTTTGATTGGATATCACTGTAAAAAAATAATAGGATTTTACGAATATGAACTATGATAATTCTGTAAAAAATTATACATTGCAGCAGTTAAGTCTCTAAAACTTCACCATACCATCCACAACGATTAGCATAAATAATAATTTTTTCTTAATAATTCATGAAAACTACTAGAGTATCATGTTTCTGTATTGTTGCTTTCATGATAACTACAATTATGAAGTGAATCATTTGTGAGTCGTCATGTAAACTTGACTTTATTTGATTTTTGTCATATTGGATGTTTACTCAAGGGGACATTTTCAGAAATAAATCCATGGCCTTATATTTAGGTATACCACAATAGTTTGGGATATTTTTCAGATGGATAGTGTAAGACCATTGTTGGATGCATTCCAGATATTGATTGAGAATAGACATCGTAGCGTAATCTTGTTTAACATTTTGATCCGTATAACAATTGGTGATTCTTCGTCGGTTAATGGTTCGACTCCTTTGCAGTATAGTGTGCTGATTCTTTCATTTTCAGTTCCAATTTGAGTAGACATGTTCGGATCTCTTTGCCTGGTCAATGCTGGGACTTGGGAGGATCAAAAGGTCTATCAGTGTGCAAGGCTTCTCTGAGTGCAAACTCTTGGAAGGACTAATCCAATTTTGGTAATTCGGTTAAGTCTTAGCTTATTAGCAGCCTGTTTGAGAGCCATTAATTCCACATTTTAATAAAAAAATATAAACATTGCAACAGTTCAGTTAACAGTGATCCAGACGCAATATTTGAAAAAAAAATGGCAGCCGTCCTTTTCTATGCTGAAATATCAAAATTGTCGTGCTTATGAATATTGAATGTAACAAGTTAGGGGCATCATGGTCTTTTCAACAAAATTTTTATCTGACTGCAGATAAAACAATCAAACATGGCTGCCAAAGTGGGGCCCGTTGACTATATATAACGGTCGAATTCTTAATTATAATTTTGGAAGAATGGCGTCCAAACGGGGGCTAGATCTTTCACGACTTTCTGTATCTGTTAGTAATTGAACATTTAGAAATGTTACATTAAAATTTATTTCTCGACTCGGGAAATAAAGTTCTCTGTCGGAAGTTACTGAAATATGTTGCTCTGTTATTTTCCTTACTGGAAAGGCGAATTGAGATATTTTATAATTATCTTAAGATTTTTTAGAAGCCTGAATGTATTATTTCATCAGATAGGAATTGGAGACTTCCATTATCACAAAATGCCAATTTTTGGAAGCTATAAGGAACCTATATTGGTCTCGGAAACTTCCATGCGGCCACGTTTGTGAAGTTTAGATTCTACTGTAGTGTTTCGAAGCTCGAATAAGACTTTCTTTGTCTCTATTCATTCATTTATGTATGTTTGTTTTTGTGTATATATATATGAATGTATCTAAAGACCACAAATATTATTGGTTTTCGAAAAAATTGATGCAGGTTACTATTCAACATCACAACCTATAACTAAAACTCACACCTCAGATGGGGACTGCAGGAAGATGGTGGAGCTTTCTCCAATGTCATATCTTGCCGTCGTGGAAATTGCGTGTTTTGGAACTTGTCGACGTGAAAAATTCATGATCCTTATCGGAGAAAATATTGATGCTCACGAGAATGGAGACAATTGACTTTGGGTTAGGATTTTGCTTTGATGGGATTAGGTTCGTTAGGATGCTTTGATGGGATTAGAATTGGGTTTGGATTTTGGAATGACTAGGTTGGGTGGAGGGTGGGTAGGAAATTATTGGAATTTATTTCTAGAACAATTCATAAATACGATAAATAAAAAAAAATAAAAAAACTTTACTATTCCCAATACATATTAAACTTTTTATTTGTCTTCTCAAAATACTATTTTTTAATTTAATTTTTTTATATGCAATTCAAAACATGGTATGTTTTGTTATATGCGCATCTTACATCGTCACAACAATCGTCGTTGTTGCCACCACTAATCACCACCACCACCACTTATCATCGTCATTGCTGGACCACCACCACCACCACCACCATCACCACCACCACCAATATTCTTACCATAGCATACCGTGTTACAACATGTTGTCACCATTAAAAAAGAAAAAAACTAAAACTTCTTTACCATTATTACTGTCATTGCCAATCTTCACCAACCATCACCACAACTACTATCAAAAACCACTCTGAAGCTTAGCACCACCAACATAGATGTCGCGCACCAAAATCACCATAGAAAATCACCATTAAATATTCACACTGGCACCTCAACTCAAACACCAAATTGAAAAATTCAAATTCACCAAACAATAATACAAACAAAAAAGGAAAATAATTGTTGTACATCATCACTTACAGATTGATGAAGTGACAAAAATAAAGTGAGAGATTTTTTTATTATTATTTGGTTGGTGAGATTTTTACTCAATCAAATTTCGTCACATCATCTATTGGTAACTAAATCTGTAAATTGTGATGTATATGCTATACAATTGTAATTTTTTATATAATATCAATCTATATATCAATCTGTAAATTATTATGTACATTTAGCATTACTCAACAAAAAAATAGAAAAACAAGCTCGAAATATGCGTAAGAGATTTCATATTCCAGATCTTGTGCAATTTCATATTCGAATTAGTGGTGGTTTTTTACTTGTGGTTGGGCTGCAATTTTGAATTTTAGATCTTAGGGTGGCCTTGCAACAACGTGCTTTATGGTGTAGTGACGATGGTGGTGCGACGACAACATTACATATTGGAATGATTGATGGTGATGGTGACAACATAGAGTGTTTCAGTTGTGGCAGGAAAGATATTATTTCTAGAGGTGATGACAACTGTGAATTCGACGATGGTTCTGTTGGAAAAAATGGTTTGAAAGATTGAAATTTGGTTAAGTGATAAAACAAAAACTTGGAAAAAGTGACTTTTGTGTCAACTTCGACCAAATATTCGGATTTGATCTGATGGTCAAATTACAAAAGTAAATAGACAAACTTGTTCTACTCGTGGAATAGATCGTCGTGGTTATTTGGAATCTCAAAACCAATTTCGGATGAATGAGAAATTACAGTCCAAAGTTGGGAAGAAAATAGAGGAAGTTGTTTGGAAAATTGACTAAGGCTGTGCTAGCTTATGGTTGGGCTGTCGCTCGAGCAACAGGCTAGCGAAAAAGTCAATGTTTTTATCGCTCGAGCGAGGCAATGGCGACAGGTTAGTGATAGTGAATAGTGCGACATTTGGCAAGAGTTATTGAGCTTGGGTCGCGACATTTCATTCACAACCCTTCATCCTCTATATATAGGACCCCTGAGGACGTCCCAATCTTCACACCAATGATATGTAATCATATATCATTCATTTTCTCTCATTTCTCAACTAAATTCTTGCATTCTTGTTGTATAAATTCTGGTTTTTTTCTCTTTACATACCGGAGTTTGTAAACCAAGTTCTGGTTCGCCGTTTCTTTTGTCTTGTAGTGCTACTCACATAAGAAGATAGTTGTTGTCTCTTGGGAGTTTATTGCCATAAACCGTAGGCATCGTTGTGAGACAAATTCGACTTAAGGACAAAGTGTTCAACACTTGCCTCGACTTTAATATTATTGCTGATATACTACACATTTTTGAGGATTTATTTGGAGTCCATTTCCTACTGTTACTCTGTCGAAATTTCTACAAAATTTTAAAGGCAATTTGAAGAATTTCCTGGCTTTTTTGTCACTCCATACACGAAATTTTCCAACAATCTTAAGTCAAAATTTTGTTAGAGTGACTTTGATCTTCAGTTAAATCATACGTTGTTTTAA